ATAAGTGTTGTCGGGTAAGGTCCTCCAGGCATCCTTGAGTTGGACGACTCCCTAGAAAGACTCAAAGAACTTCATGAAGCCCATCTCCCTGAAGGACACCACCTGGTCCAGGGCCCCACCATAGATCAGGTGATCAGCATAAACTGCCCACAGCCCCAGCTACGAAAACACACTCTTATCGGGCGAATATTTCAATGGTTTCTGGGCTTCCTCCCCGGAGCCAGGCAAGGCCAGATATTCTCTTGGGAATCAGCAGGTTCTAAGCATCCCAGACCAACTGCATTAATTCTCTGCCACACTGTACATGTTCATTTCTCTGGGGCAAATACCCAGGGATTGAGTTGCCAGGTTGTTCCGTAGTTGCATGTTTTGTTGTTGTTGGTGGGGTTTGCTTTATTGGGAGGGGGAATTGCCACACTCTTTTCCAGGGTGGCTGTAGCATGTTACATTTACCCAGTGACGTGTGAGTCGCCCACTTTCTCCCCATCCTCACCAGCTTTTGGTGCTGTTTCTACATTGTGCTTAAGGCATGCTGATGGGTGTGTCACGCTGCCTCACCATGATCTTAATGTGTATTAGTCTGCTTGGGCTGCCGTAACAAAATACCACAGGCTGGGCGACTTCAACACCTTAAACTGTTTTCTCACCATTCTACAGGTTGGAAGTCCCAGACCAAGGTGTGGCAGCATCAGTTCCTGGCAAGAGCCCTTCCTGGCTTATAGATGGCCCCTGTCACTATGTCCTCATGTGGGCTTTCCTTGGTGTGTGCAGGTGGAGAGAATGGGAGCCAACTCCCTGGCGTCGCGTCTAACAAGGACACAAATCCTGTCTTATCAGGACCCCAACATATGACCTCATTCAGCCTTATTATTTCTTACTCCAAATTCAGCCATACAGGGGGTTAGGACTTCGACATATGAACCTGGGGGATATATACATTCAGTTCATAACAAAGATGGCGACCATCTTTTCATGTGCTTACTTGACATCTGTATATACTCTTGGTGAAATGCCTATTAGTGTCCTTTGTCTATTTTGTATTTGGATTTTCAAAAACTGCTGTTGCATTTTGAGAGTTCTTGGTACATTCTAGATACTAGCACTTGGTTGGACCTGAAATTTGCAAATCCAAGCAGCCCTCATCTTATTATGCTTTGCTTCATTGTACTTTGCTGTATTGTACAATCTGTTTTTCACAAATTGAAGGCCGTGGCAATCCTGCATCAAGGAAATCTCCTGGCGCCATCGTCCCGCCAGCATGTGATCACTCTGGGTCTCTGTCACATTTTGGTAATTCTCACAACATTCCAAACTTCTTCATTATTATGATATGTATTATGATCATCTGTGATCAATGATCTTTGACATCACTATTGTCATTGTTCTGGGGCACCACAAACTGCACTCATATAAGACCGTGAACTAATGGATAAATATTGTGTGTGCTCTGAATGCTCCACCAACCAGCTGTTCCCTCAGGTCTCTCTCTCTCCTTGGGCCTCCCTATTCTCTGACACACAATATTGAAACCAGGGCAATCAATAACCCTACAGTGGCCTCTTGAGTATTCAAGTGAAAGGAAGAGATGTGCATCCCTCACTTCAAATCCAAAACTAGAAATAATTAAGCTTAGCCAGGAAGGCATGTTGAAAGCTGAGAGAGGCCAAAATCTAGGCCTTTTGCACTAAACAGCTAGCCAAGTCGTGAATGCAAAGGAAAAGTTCTGTAAGGAAATTAAGTCCTACTCCAGTGAACACACAAATGGTAACAAAGTGAAACAGCTTATTTCTGATATGGGAAAAGGTTTTGTTTTAGTGGTCTGGTTAGAAGATAAAACCAGCCACAACATTCCCTTAAGGCAAAGCCTAATCCAGAACAAAGCATTAAATGTTTTCAATTCTATGAAGGCTGAGAGAGGCGAGGAAGCTGCAGAACTGTTTGAAGCTAGCAGAGGAGGTTGGCTTATGAGATGAAGGAAGGAAACTATCTCCGTAACATAAAAATACAAGATGAAGCAGCAAGTGCGAATGTAGAAGCTGCAGTAAATTACCCAAAAGATCTAGCTGAGTTCACTGATGAAGTGGTGACACTGTACAACAGATTTTCAATGCAGACAAAACAGCCTTCTGTTGGAAGAAGATGCAATCTAGGACTTTCCTAGCTAGAGAAGGAAAGTCAATGCCTGGCTTCAAGGCTTCAAAGCTTCAAAGGACAGCCTGATTCTCTTGTTAGGGGTCAATGCAGCTGGTGACTTTAAATGGAAGCCAATTCTTATCCACCATTCCCAAAATTCTAGGGCCTTAAGAATTGTGCCAGATCCACTCTGCCCATGCTCTATAAATAATCAACAAAGCCTGCATGACACCACATCTGTTTACAGCATGGTTTACTGTAAGCCCACTCTGAGACCCACTGCTCAGAAAAAAGGATACCTTTCAAACGATTACTGCTCACTGACAATGCACCTGGTCACCCAAGATCTCTGCTGGAGATGTACAAGGAGATGAGTGTTTTTTCATGCCTGCTAAGACAACATCCATTCGGCAGCCCATGGATCAAAGACTTTCAAACCTTGTTATTTAAAAAATATACTTCATAATGCTGTAGCTACAATACATGGTGATTCCTCTGATGGATCTGGTCAAAGTAAAATGAAAACCTTCTCAAAAGGATTCACCATTCTAGATGCCATTAAGAACATCTGTAATCAAATAGGATGAGGTCAAACTAGCCACATTAGCAGGAATTTGGAAGAAGTGGATTCCAACCCTCATGGATGACTTTGAGGGGTTCGGGACTTAGTGGAGAAAGTCACTGCAGATGTGGGGGAAACAGCAGGAGAACGAGAATTAGAAGTGGAGCCTGGAGATGGTATTGAATTGCTGTGATTTCATGATCAAACTTGAACAGATGAGGAGTTATTTCTTAAGGATGAGCAAAGAAAGTGGTTTCCTGAGATAGAATCTACTCCTGGGGAAGATGCTGCGAACATTGTTGAAATGACAACAAAGGATTTAGAACAGTGCATAAACTTAGTTAATAAAGCCGCGCCAGGATCTGAGAGTACTGACTTCAATTTTGAAAGGAGTTCTACAGCATTACAAAGCTACAGATCAATCTTTTGTGAAAGAGAGTCAAGCAATGTGGCAAACTTCATTGTTGTCTTATTTTAAGAAATTGCCACAGCACCCCCTCCCCCCACAATCCTTCAGCAACCGCCATCCTCATCAGTCAGCAGCTAATCAGCTTCATGGCGTGATTCCACCAGCAAAAAGATCAAAAAGATTATGTAGGGGTCTCTAAAGGCTCAGATAATCCTTAGCATTTTTTAGCAAAGTTTTTTTTTTTTTGGTATCACAATTCATTAAGCAAACCAATATTCTTTTTTTCTTTTTTTGAGACAGGGTCTTGTACTGTCACTCAAGCCGGAGAGCAGTGGCACAAACATGGTTCACTGTAGCATCGACGTCTCAGGCTCAAGCAATCCTCCCATCTTATATTCCCCAGTAGCTGGGACTACAGACATGTACCACCACACCCGGCTAATTTTATTTTTTTTGTGGAGACAGGGTTTTGCCACACTGCCAAGGCGGGTCCCGAACTCCTGAGCTCAAGAGATCCACCTGCCCTGGCCTCCCTAAGTGCTGGGATTATAGGCGTGAGCCACCACACCCTGCCCAAGAGAGTATTTTTAAATTAAGCAATGTGCATGGTTTTTAGACATAATGCTATTGCATACTTAATAGATTACACCATAGTGTAAACATAACGTGTATATGCACTGGGAAACGAAAACATTGGGTAACGGAGTTTATTTCCCTATTTGCTTTGATTGTGGGAGCCTGGAACTGAACCCGCAATATCTCCCAGAAATGCCTGTCTTCTCTCCTGGTCTGTACTTTTTCATTTCATCCTCTTAAGCCAGTGTTTCCCGGAGCCTGGGTTTTAAATGTTGGTGAATTCTGATGTATCCATACTTAGATGGGTCCCGCTTTTGGTGTCAAGTCTCAAATCTCTACCAGTTCTAGGGCTCCATTTTTTCTCTTAGAATTTCTCCCCTAAAGTTTTATAGTTTTATGTTTAACATGTGAGTGACCCATTTTCAGTTACTGCTTGTATGAGCGAGGTGAACTGTATTTCAAGAAAGAGTTCATCCTCAACATTTACCTTATTTTTTAAAACCCACAAATTCATGGTATTTCATTGTTTGGATGTACTGGGACTTATTTAACTAGGCCCCTCTCAATGCCTCTGGTTTCTTCTTCATTTTTTTGTGATTTTAGTAAGTAATGCAAAATTGATTTTGTTGTTTTTTGTGTGTGTTTTTATGGAGATGGGGTCTCAGTATGTTGCCCAGGCTGATCTAAAACTCCTGGCCTCAAGCAATCCTTCTGCCTCCTCCTAAAGCACTAGGGTTACAGGCGGGAGCCACCACGCTGGCCTGAGAACGATGTTCTCATCACAAATATATTTGCACAAATGCGCCCCCATACCCATTTGTTGTCATTCGACTCAGTCATGCAGTACGCAAAGATAAATTCTGTTTGAACTTTATGTGGTCAGGTTATTTACTTGATGGCTTCTGGGCTTTGTTTTATGATTTAGAAAGACCTGCATTCTTCAGAGTGGTGGAATTAAATGGAATTAAAAGTGTCACATTCATGTTTCTGCGACTCTTTTCATGGTCTGTTTTCCGGATCTACCACTGCTCGAGCCCTGGAGCCACTGGTGCCGCCAAGGAGGTCCTGGCAGGGCGCCCCGGACTCCGCACCTCTGGGAAAGGTCCCCACCCCTCTGGAGCTTGGGCCGTGCAGGTGTGGACCGGGAGTCGGTGTGGACCGGGAGTCGGTGTGGACCGGGAGTCGGTGTGGACCGGGAGTCGTGCAGGGAGTTGGTCCCCTTCCTGGCAGCCATCCCTGGCGGCGAACGGAGGTCACAGGGACTGCATGTAAGAATGTCCCAAGTCCCCCTTCTCCTGCTGGGTCGCACTGTGCCTGGCGATGGCCGCCGGGAACTCCAAGGTTGATGCCCCCTATGGGTGCTGGACACCTTCCGTCGCCCCGGGCTGAGAACGCCACCGGAGGCGTATCTTTCTCATAGCTGGGACCACAGGCATAGGCACTGCGCCAGCTTCTGCACACATTTCTCATGCAGTCCTCTGACCCTGTGGGGTGGTCAGGGAGGATGGCCCGGGCCTCCTGGTCCCGGTTAGCCCAGCAGGGCACTGCTGGGCTGGCTGCTGTCCATGGCAGGACGGTGAAAGATGCAAGGTGGCAGAGGAGTGGCCGTAGGCAGGAAGGGGAGGGCCGGTGGGCAGGGACTGGTCTGTGTAGCCTGGCTGGTCGCGCTCCACCGGCTCCAGCCGCAGCGTGGAGCACCCGGGCCCAGGTTCCTCTCCAGTGTAGGCAGCCTCGCCAAGGCCTCTGGACGTGCCCTCCCCGCTGAATGCACAAGGTCTCCTCTGCTCTCCCAAGCAAAGCGGGGTCAGGCCAGGATGGGAGGTGGATGGAAGAACGCTTGGAAACACTGGGCCCTGTAGGCTTCTTCCTGCCCTTGATAGCCAGACCCTCTCTCTCCTCTTGCAGTAGGACCCGGCCCAGCGCTCTCCAAATGCAGCCAGGCCCTCCGCCCCAGCCCAGCACTGTCCCTCCCACTCCCCCGGACTGTGTACAAACACACTGGCACACAGCAGCTTCAGCCTCTTCAGCCAGCTGACCCAGGGCAGACCCGTGCACAGCACTGACCCACACCTCACTGCTCCCTGACACCATCCCAGACCACACCCTCCCCCAACCCAGTCACTCACTCTGTGAGCACAGATGGCCAGCTTTGCCCCAGGTCCTGCTCAAAATGCTTAGGGATCCATCAGAGAACAAAACAAATAGGGTTTCTGACTTCATGAAGCTTCCATTTTTGTGGAAGGAGATAGACAATAAAAGCTGTATTTATTAAACACATAATACAGCACTGACTCCATACCAGGTGTTATGCTATGAATTTTATAAATATAAATTCACTTGATCCTCACAAAACTTCTGAGTTAGGTATTGTTCATACAAATGAGGAAACCAAGGCCAAAGGGGTTAAATAATCCACCCAAAGCCACATGAGTAGCAAGTGGTAAAGCCACAACTCAACCCCAGGCAGCCTGGCTCCAGAGCCCGGGCCCTGCCACCTCTCAGTAAGCATGAGCGAGCAACACAGCATGCTAGAGGGTCAGTGCTCTGGAAAAACAGAGAGTAAAGCAGAGTACAGGGAATCCGGAGCACTGAGGGAAGGAGACACACTCACATTTTACACTGGGAGGCATGAGGATTCCCGGAGGAGGTAACATCTGAGCAAAGGCACGAAGGGTTGAGGGAGTTGGCATGCAATATATGCAATATTGCAGGAAAGAGTGTTTCAGGGAGGGGGAGCCTGTCCCACAGCCCTGAGGCAGGGCATGCCTGGAGCATGGGAGGAAGGTCCAGTGAGGGAGGGAACAGCCCCTGCCTTTTGCGCAGCAGAATGCCCGTGCGTGCTGCATGCCTGATTCCCTGCCTCCCTGGTGCCCATGTTGCTCTTTTAGTATTCACCATGACTTCCAAAGTGAACCGTGAATTCTTGAGAACAGAGCCCGTGACCTCTACTCCCTCTGCTTGTGCCTGGTACTTTCAAGCTGATGTTTGCTGGATCTGTCTGCCTTGCCTTGTGGATTCTACAAAACTACAAGGTCCAGGAGGATGAGCAGGTCCTCCCAGGGAAGCTTCTGACACCTCTGTCACTGGTCCTCCTACATTAGTGGTGAGCAGTAGCCTCTGCCTGGGGCAGGGAAGCAGCAGTAAGTAAACGGCACTTGTATTCTGTATTTTCAAAGCATGCCTGCCCAACTCTATATTCAAATTTTATTCCCAGTAGGCCCCTTTAAACTGGTAGGCAGCCAATTCCACCCTACTTGACAAATGGCAAAACCATCAGGTAAGTCACCTGAGCTCACTGCGCAGCAGCAGAATCGAGGCTTTCTCATCTAGGCTGGGAGATCAGGGCCTGCAGAAGCCACTCGCATCTTCAACCTCCTTTATGACCCACCCGCCTTCTCTCAGGCCCAGCCCCAGGCCCTGGGGAATGAAGTCACTGAGGACTCAAGACTCTTGAATTTCAGACATGCTGGGACGCAAGAATCACTTTTTTTTTTTGGACGGAGTCTCGCTCTGTCGTCCAGGCTGGAGTGCAGTGGCGCGATCTTGGCTCACTGCAACCTCTACCTCCCCGGTTCAAACAATTCTCTGCCTCAGCTTCCTGAGTAGCTGGGGTTACAGGCACCCACCACTACGGCCTGGCTAATTTTTGTATTTTTAGTACAGACGGGGTTTCACCATCTTGGCCAGGCTGGTCTTGAACTCCTGATCTCGTGACCCACCCCCCTCAGCCTCCCAAAGTGTTGGGATTACAGGCATGAGCCACCATGCCCGGCCTCAAGAATGACTCTTAAGAGGTGAGTAATGACCTGGCCAGGTGCGGTGGCTCATGCCTGTAATTCTAGCACTTTGAGAGGCCAAGGTAGGTGGATCACCTGAGGTCAGGAGTTCAAGACCAGCCTGGCCAAGACAGTGAAACCCCGTCTCTACTAAAAACACAAAAATTAGCCAGGCGTAGTGGCACACGCCTGTAGTCCCAGCTACTGGGGAGGCTAAGGCAAGAGAATCGCTTGAACCCGGGAGGCGGAGGTTGCAGTGAGCCGAGATGGTGCCACTGCACGCCAGCCTGGGTAACAGAGTGAGACTCTGTCTCAAAAAAAAAAAAAAAAAAAAAAGGGTAAGTAATGACCCAACAGTACAGGGTCCCGATCCCATCTAAGTAGGCTTAAGGCAAAGACTGAGCATTTAGTTAAGTCACAGAGAATTTAGCTAAACGCAGTGAGTCACCCACTTCACACAGAGAAAAACGCATCCCTCTACTCCTGTCTCATCACGCGCAGAATGCCCAGGTGCTGCTCTCCCACCCGTCCCTGTCCCCTCACAGCCCGACAATTCTCAGCCACAGCAAGGAGCTTTGGTGGTGGAGGAGGGAGGAATATGCTAGGACCTTTGTAAACTGACTTTCTATGGGCTGCAGACAGTCCATGCTAAAGGGTAGCTGCCATACCCCTGGGGGCTGCAGGTGCCAGGAGTGAGCACTCTCCATCTTTCCCCTGACCAAGCTGCTCCTCCTCTCTTCCCAAGCTTCCAACACTGGCACCGGCCTCCCGGGACCCATGCCACCTCCAGACTTCAACTGGCAACCAAAAAGAGACAGGGGGCTCGGTGCAGTGGGGTGCCCATAATCCCAGCACTTTGAGAGGCTAAGGCAGGAGGATTGCTTGAGCCCAGGAGCTCAAAACCAAACTGGGCAACACAGAGAGAGTTTGTCTCTATGCAAAATTTAAAAATTAAGTCGGGTGTGGTGGTGTGGGCCTGTAGTCCCAGCTACTCAGGTGGCTGAGGTTGGGGAGATGGCCTGGGACCGGGAGGTCAAGGCTGCAGTGAGCCGAGATCACACCACTCCAGCTGGGGCCACACAGCAAGACACTGTCTCCAAAAAGAAAAAGAAAAAGAAAGAAACATGGACAGGAGACAGGAGAAGGCTGCGACTAAGGTTTCATTTTGCCTTTACACAGGAAAAGTCACTGTACAGATACAACACTATCTGCTGAAGAATTCAGTCTGGTTAACTCTGGCAGATACACAATTCAACAGACACCTGCAGATGTGCCTAATGCAGGAAGACTCCTCTGTTAGATTCCCTCATACATAACACATGCACTCTGAGCCGGGCGCTAAAGAGACCTGGCTTAACAGAACACGAAAAAGATACTGTTGTCCTTGCCAAGGTACTCACTACTTAGCAGAAGCTCTTGCCCTTCCACTTCACCTTTCATCAAGGTATAAACCAACAGTCTGGCTTCTTCTCTCTTCTTTAATCTGATTTCTGTCTTCCCTTTCTTTTTTCTTTTAAGAGACAGGGTCTCACTCTCACCCAGGCTGGAATGCAGCGGCATGATTATAGCTCACTGCAGCCTCGAACTCCTGGCCTCAAGTGATCCTCCCACCTCAGCTGTCTGAGCAGCTGGGACTATAGGTGTACACCACCATGCCTGGCTAATTTTTAAAATTTTTGTAGAGACAGGGTCTCACTATGTTGCCCAGGCTGGTCTCAAACTCCTGGTCTCAAGCGATACTCCTACCTTAGCCTCTTAAAGTGCTGGGATTACAGATGTGAGCCATTGCACCCAGCCTTTTTTTTTTTGAGACGGAGTCCTGCTCTGTCATCCAGGCTGGAGTGCAGTGTTGCAATCTCAGCTCACTGAAAGCTCCGCCTCCCAGGTTCACACCATTCTCCTGCCTCAGCCTCCCAAGTAGCTGTGACTACAGGCGCCTGCCACCACGCCCAGCTAATTTTTTTTTGTATTACCGTGTTAGCCAGGATGGTCTCGATCTCCTGACTTCGTGATCCACCTGTCTCGGCCTCCCAAAGTGCTGGGATTACAGGCGTGAGCCACCGTGCCCAGCCTCCTTTTCTTTCTTTTAATTTTTTCTTTTTTTTTTTTTTTTGAGACAGTAAGGTCTTGCTCTGTTACCAAGGCTGGAATGCAGTGGTGTGATCTCTGCTCACTGCAGCCTTGGCCTCCCAGGCTCAAATGATCCACCTACCTCATCCTCCTGAGTAGCTGGGACTACAGGTGTGCAACACCCACACCCGGCTCATTTTTGTATTTTTTCATAGAAACAGGGTTTCACCATATTGGCCAGGCTGGTCTGTAACTCTTGACCTCAGGTGATCTGCCCACCTCGGCCTCTCAAAGTACTGGGATTACAGGTGTGAGCCACCACATCTGGCCTCTTTTTTAAAACTGTGGCAATCATCTCTCCTCTGTTGAACTTGCCAGTGAGACAAAGTCAATGGGGCCAGGCATGGTGGCTCACACCTGTAATCCCAGTACTCTGAGAGGCTGAGGTGGGCAAACTGTTTGAGCCCAGGAGCTTGAGACCAGCCTGGGAAGTATGGCAAAACCCCATCTCTACAAAAAAATGTAAAAAATTAGCCAGGCTTGGTGGTGCATGCCTGTAGTCTCAGTTACTCAGGCGGTCAAGGTTGCAGTGATCGATGATCGCACCACTGCACTCCAGCCTAGGCGGCAGAGTGAGATGCTGTCTCAATTAAAAAAAAAAAACATGTAATCAACTGCAGGGTTTGGGGTGACAGTTTCCTGGTCATTCCTTCCAGTTTCTTGGTGTCTTTATAGCTAGAGATGGCTAAAGGCCACCCTCAAGAAAACAACAAGTCACGTACAACTGAGGCCCATGGAGGCAGAATGCTGTTCTCTCCATCGGAGCAACCCAAGCACTTGAGTGTCTGACACCACCCATCACCCCCCAACTCCATGGGATTAGAGCTGAATTCTGAAGAGAGGGACCAAAGATGACACAGTGCATGGCTGGAGAGAAGGGGAACTCCAGAGTTTAGCTAAATTTCTGAACCACATGCCCACCATGCCCACAAGGTACTACATTAAAGTACATTGGAAGCTAAAAGCCAAAAAGGAATCAGATTTTCAACTCTGCCACCTAAAATAGAAACTGAGAGCCTTATTTACTGCACAGATTTTAGCACAAGTGCCATGCCTCCAGTTTCACAATTCCACCAGCAGCTTAAGCAAAATGGCTTGGAAACTAAAGATGACCTCTGGGTCACAGTATCGCTCATTTCCTCTGTCCACAAACCACTTTGATTCTCTTTGATTCTCTCTGTCCCTAATATCCCCATCCAGTGTTTTTGTTTGTTTGTTTATTTGTTTGTTTGTTTTGAGACAGAGTCTTGCTCTGTCACCCAGGCTAGAATACAGTGGTGTGATCTCGGCTCACTGCAACCTCGGCCTACTGAGCTCAGGCAATCCTCCCACCTCAGCCTCCAGAGTAGCTGGGACCAGTAGATGTTTTCTCAGTTCTGATTATTTTTTCTAAAGTAATGACCCTCCACCTGGCTAGACGAATGCTTCTAGCAAAGGAAAAGACCAGGGTATGAAAACTGTAGTGCAATAGAACATAACATAAAGCTCCGTCCAACCCCCACCACCCATCAGACCTGAGGTGGTGGCAGCAGCAGGCGTCGGGGCTCTCAGGCTTGCCCATTAGTCATCCCTAAGGCCCCTTAGCACATGGTTTAGGAGGAGCACACACTCTGGAATCAGAAAGCCCGGGATTGAGCCCAGCCCTGCTTTCAGTCAAGGCTTTGTCACTCACTATCACTCCATTGACCTAGGACCTCACAAAACCTTGTCATCTGTAAAACTGGGGATAAAAAGTTCTACCTTGAATGCTGCTGTGAGGAATAAATGAGGTAATGTCTATGCAGCACCTAGCACAGATTCCTACAGATAAACAATAAATGTTAACTATCATCCACTATCTAGTCATCAGAAAACCACAATGATCTGGTATCTTTAAGTCCTTCCGCTGCTTAAAAAAAAAGAAAGTAAAAAGAAAAAGATGTGTGGATTTTTTCCCCCTAAAGGTATCGGTGAAGTGAAACTTAAGGAAAACCTGGGCTGGGCACGGTGGTTCACACCTATAATTTCAGCACTTTGGAAGGTCAAGGTGGGCAGATCGCCTAAGGTCAGGAGTTGAAGACCAGCCTAACCAACATGGTGAAACCCTGTCTCTACTAAAAATGCAAAAAATTAACCGGGTGTTGTGATGGGCGCCTGTAGTCTCAGCTACTTGGGAGGCTGAGGCAGGAGAATCGCTTGAACCCAGGAGGCAGAGGTTGCAGTGAGCCACGATCGCGCCACTGCACTCTAGCCTGGGCACAACAGAGCGAGATCCCATCTCAAAAAAAAAAAAAAAAGAAAAAGAAAAAGAAAAATCCAATTCAAATCCCAATTCAGGGACCAACTCACTTGCAACTTAAAGCAAATCATGTCACCTCCATTTCTTTGCCTATAAAACGGGAATAAGACACCCTATTAAACTTTGACGACCTCAGAGACGAGAAAGAATCAATGAGATAACAGGTCATGAAAAAGCTTTCACTTCCTCAAATAAAAAGCAACAAGTAGTAAATCCAAAGCATAATTACTATTAAAATGCCGGGCCCCATAATATTATGGAACATAAATAAGCCAATGATGACTCTTACTTTTTCTAGAACATTAGGTTTGATGGCCCTTTGGTCTGTTCACATGGAACCTGCTACAAGCCGGAGGAGGCAAATGGCTGCTCCTAGCAGATCCCAGTTCAGAGGCACGGCCCAGCAAAGCTAGCACTCTGCCAATGGTCAGGCTTCAACCATCCTGGGCCACTTCTCAGATGCCAGTGCCAGGAGAAATTAGGTAATTCATCTGGTTCCACCTGGACATGTGAAACCAACGGCAATCAAAATCCTCACCTGCAGGACTACTCAACAGACGCAGGAAAGGGTCCACTTTGACCCTCTGCTCTTCTGTACTGAATGGTGTACGACTCTTCCAGGGCATGTGCCGTCCTTGCCATCCTTCCTTTAAAGTACAATTCATGATCCAGGAGGAAGAGCTCAATTTTTCCCTATTTTTACTTCTAGGTCCAAGACGTGAGTTTCATTTTTAATCTGCCACGGAAATGTATGGAGAGCTGGAAGTTTGAGTTGGAGGAGGAATGGGGCGATCTCATCTCCCTAATTTAAAAACGGGGCATGCAACCAAAACCGCAACCAATTTCATCATCCCCAGGTCTCTCAAACCCAACGAAGAGTGGGAAAATGTACTTTTATGTTTATTGAACATCTGCTATGTGCCAAGGACTGTGCTAAGTTCTTCACACACATTATTTCCAAAGCCCATTTTCTCTTCCACGCCTAGTAACACCATGGAATAACCACCACGGAACAGGATCATCCCATGTGGGGGGGTGGGGGAAAGAATCACAATATGTAGTCAAGTTTAAGATGTTTCAAATGTTAGCATTACGAACACGAATAAACAACCGTGACTGAGGAACCAGGTCTAAGTTCTGAAACATCCTTTACAGGAGGAACACACAAACCATGTCTTTCCTATAATTAAGAAATTAACTCACGCTACTGAATACACTATAAAAAAAGATTTAAAACTTTTAAAACCTGGAGCACAAGAAAAACTCACTATGGGGCTCGAACAATCTGGGGTCGGATTTCTGACCTGAGAAGTACATCTGGCAATCAAATATGGAATGAACGTCATCCCCTGCGAGGCCCTAGCGATGTGCTCACGGGAGAAGGCAACCACAGTGAACTGGCCTGTGCGCGGCCAGGTAACCACAAGGCGGGGCTTTCCCGCAGGCGGCAGCGACTGCAGGAAGACGTCTTTCTCAGCTTAGAACCTAGTTCATCCTCATCCCTGCGGTACAACGACTGTCTATGGAGCAAAGTGTCAGATGGGACCAAATACATATTGGGGGCCTGATATTCAAAAGTCATCCTCTCCATGCACATCCCACTAAAAAGAAGCTTGGGCAGGGGGGAAGCTGTCCACCTGTCCACAGCTGACCTTTATTCCTCTGCATCAACCCATTTCACATAAATCACAATTAACCTCTGCACTAAACACCATTAAAAGAACACAAATGTGGCTTCAACTCTTGGACGTACTTTCTCTTCATTCAAAGTCAGAAAAATCAGCCAAGCTACCGGGCTGGTCCCCGCCCCTTAACGGGATGTGGCACAGAGGCCTTGCCTGAGGGGCCTGCCAGACCCCTTCTTCCCCGCAAATCACTGAGCACGTGGGGTGGCGGCTAACCTGTGCCCCATGCCAGGCGGAGGATGTCGCTGCCTCTGGCTTTCTGCCAGGCCAGGCAAGCCCGGCTCCGTGTAGGGCTCCTCAAGGTGGTTTCTAAGCTGGGAATTTCCAGTGTGCCCGGGAGACCTCCAAGAGCGCGGTCCCCTCAGAAGGCAGCTAGGGAAGGGGACCAGAGAGGAAGGCGGCTGCCATCGCCCGGCCGCGCCCACCGCCCCCACGAATGGAAAGGCGCGCCAGGGTCCTCTCGGCCACCTACCTGCCAGGGTCGCAGAAGCCCACCCTTGGCGCGCGCCAGGCCGGGGCAGTGGGACGGGGTGGCCCCGGGAGCCGAGCCGCGAAGACAGGACCCAGGGATCCTCGGCCCGGAGCCCGCGGACCCCGGTAAAGACAAACACCTCCCCCGCCCCAAAAAGCCCCCGCCCGGCGCCGGGCTAAGCCCCCTCCCTCCGCCTCCCGCCTGAAGCCGGCAGCGTCCCCGCGCTTCCCCGCGCCCGCCGCCCCAGAACTCGGGAGCCGCCGGCGCACCTGGCCGCGCATCCTCCGGTGGGAGGTGACCAGAGCTGGACACCGGGGCTTCCTCGCGGCCCGCCCGCGGGTGCAGGGCCATAAGCGCCGCTGGAAGGAGGCGCACGCGCCGCGGCGGTTCCTGGCCTTGGCGCTCCCAGGGCGGGAGGCTCTGCGCGCGTCCGCTCTTGGGGCCACCCGTTCCAGAGCCACTCGCCAGGGCCAACCCGGGGCTCGAGACCCCGAGCTCGGGTGCGAGCAGGATGCGGCTCCCCGGGGACGGTTGGCGTGGGTAGGAGTCCCGAAGCCCCGACCTTACCTCTGCTTCATGCTGCAGTGTCCCTCAGCGCTGGCGTCCCAGTGGCCGGTCCGTGCCGCCCTGTCCCACAGGCCCGGCGACCGTGGAGGTAAGCAGCAGCTGGAGCAGCGGCACAGCCGCGGGAGCGGGGGGGGGCACACTGAAGGGCGGGCGTTGCGGCCCTCGGGCTGCACCACAGGGCCCCAGCCTCCGGGGCGAGAGATCTCAGTGCACCTCGGAAACTGGCAGGCCGCTCCCGTCCTCAGGGACCCCATGGCTACCTGCACGCTCAGCCTTGCCAGAATCTCATGGGATATGTGCAAAAGGCAAAGAAATAAGCTGTCGCCACCCCCTTCGTCCTCTCCGTCTCCCGGCAGGATCCATATGGTACATTCCCCAAAGCCCAGCCTGCGAGAGGCCACACGAAGCGGCCAATGGAAAAACCCGGTGGGCGTATCAAAGCCTGCCTGCAGAGAGAAGGGAGGATGTATTTAAACGGGACTCGTTGGCCAGGCGTGGTGGCTCACACCTGTAATCCCAACACTTTGGGGGAGCGGAGGTGGGCGGACTGGAGGTCAAGAGTTCAAGACCAGCCTGGCCAACATGGCGAAACCCCGTCTTTACTGAAAATACCAAAATTAGCCGGATGTGGTTGCCTGGGCCTGTGTCCCAGCTACTCAGGAGGCTGAGTCAGGAGAATCACTTGAACCCGGGAAGCAAAGGTTACAGTGAGCACTCCAGCCTGGGCGACAGAGCCAGACTCCGTCTCAAGAAATAAAAAAAATAATAATAAAGGAGACTTGTTTGCTGCTCTTAGCTGCCGCAAAATAAAACTAGGATTTTCATTCTGACACTATCCAGATGGGAAGCAAAGAGATTAGGGGGAATTTCAAATTTTTAGAGGAGGGAACTAAAAGAAAATATAGAACAGAGGCTGGAGGCAGTGGCTCACGCCTGTAATCCCAGCACTTTGGGAGGCCGAGGCGGGTGGATCACAAGGTCAGGAGTTCGAGGCCAGCCTGACCAACATGGTGAAACCCCGTCTCTACTAAAAATAGAAAAATTAGCCAGGTATGGTGGCACATGACTATAATCTCAGCTACTCAGGAGACTGAGACAGGAGAATCGCTTGAACCCGGGAGACAGAGGTTGCAGTGAACCAAAATCACACCATTGCACTTCAGCCTGTATGACAGAGTGAGACTCCATCTCAAAAAAAGAAAAAGAAAATATACAGTGAATTGAACCAAATATATCTGTATGACCTTGAGCAGGTAAGTCCAACCCTCAGCCTCAGTTTCGTCATGTGGTCCAATGAGGATACTGGACTGCACTTGGTGTCTGATGGCCTTCACACACTTGGTGTGGGATCCTGTCATCCCTTGCACGGGGATAGCAATACCTGCAAATATTCTTCAATTTTGGGCATGATACACCATCTTAAAGAACTTTAATTGAAAGTAGATAGACTCTCTGACACCTACTTTCAGCGACAATATCAACCCCACCTTTGGTAAAGGCGAATCCAGTCTGCTTTCTGGGTCCCTCATCTCTTAGAGAAGAATATTCTTCTTATGTGTGGAGCCCCCCACCTCCAAGTATTTAATAATTTCTACTCCAAGAGGCACCCCTTTCTCTTCCTCCTCATAACCAGACAAAGCTTCGATTAATAATTCATTCACCCAATGAGCTGTCCACAATTCCTGCCTTGAGCAACAAACCCCACTGCTCACCCCTCCCAAGAGCTGCTAAAGTGCTCGTCCCTAACTCAGTCTGTGACACGCCATTCAACCACACATGGCCAGTTGTGCTTTCATCCACACTACTAAGCCAAATTTCAGACTTTCAACCATTCCTTGGGGCCTGCTCTGTTTTAGAGTTTTACACCAGCCTGCTAGGCTTACATTTTGGCTACCAAGCTTCAGCTCCACCTTCTTTATTTCAGAATTTTTCAACCTCCCAACAGCTGATCACCCTACCCCCACTCAACCAGCTTCCAAATCGTGTAGGGTGTCTGGGATACCTGTTCTAATAACTCCAGATAACTCATCTTCCAACTATAATCCAAAGAGCTCCAGAAAGTGCATCCCTCCATGAAGACTTCCAGACTGATTGCCAGAAGCTGCTAGCTTACAGAGCTCCCATTTCTACTCTGTGCCCTGCCATAAACCTACTGTCCATGCTCTCTGCCCCAGTATACAATTCTTTTTTTTTTTAAAACAGAGTTTCGCTCTTGTTGCCCCCACCATAACTCCACAACGCAATACTGTCTTAAGTTTCTTAAGAATCTACTGCATGCCAGATGAAAGATAGTATCATATATTTACTTATTTATTTTTATTTTTTATTTATTTTTTTGAGACAGAGTCACACTCTGTCACCCAGGCTGGAGTGCAGTGGCACAATCTCGGCTCACTGCAACCTCTGCCTCCTGAGTTCAAGCAATTCTCGTGCCTCAGCCTCCCGAGTAGCTGAGATTATAGGCTCGTGCCACCACGCCTGGCTAATTTTTATATTTTTAGTAGAGATGGGGTTTCACTATGTTGACCAGGCTGGTCTCAAACTCCTGACCTCAAGTGATCCACCCACCTTGGCCTCCTAAAGTGCTGGGATTACAGGTGTGAGCCACCGGGCCAGGCCTCATACATTTATATTATGTTTACATTTATTTCTATACCTATAATATAATTTCAGTCTCAAAACAGTCATGTGAGGAGAGTTGGTAGAAGTCTATTCACAGATGAGGAAGGAAACTACAGCTCAGAGAGCATGACCCTTTGGCTAAGGTAGCAAGGCTGGTAAGTAACTGAGCCTGGCTTTCCACACTGCATTCTTTCCACTGCAATTCCTGCTCCCTGAGTGAACACAACCTTTTTACATGTAACAACCAGAGAAGGAGGAAACAAATACAAAATAGCAAAACCGAAGCCACGGGGTTTAGGGAGTGTAGTTCAAGGAGTGCTTACAAGGGGCCAGAAAACAAGTCAAAGAAGACTTCTGTGAAGGGTGAGAATCACGATGGACTTCTTTATACTGGTTTGTTGTTTATATTCTGTCCATGAGACTATATCTTGGACACATCTGGCAAATTCAGTAGCAAAAGGCCACAAAACTGCCCCATACCGCTGGAGTGCTGGTGGCTAGAATTAGCCCCGTGTCAATGAAGAAGGGACTTCTGTGTGCAATGCTGCTGCCGACCAGTTTGGGAAAGTTCTCAGCTGGCTGTTTAGCAAACTATCCTGCTCCATCGGCAGTTTTAACGCTCCCCTGCAAATACAGACTGGGCTCATTATTTCTTCTTTTTCAACTATTGATATCCTCACAGGGTTGGAGAGCCTAAGCAAAATTGTGTGGGAGCAGCAAACTTTTAATATTAAGCAGCCTGAACAAGGTAATTGTGAGGCCAATACTTCTGAGTTGTTCTTTGCCAGGTCCAGCCATAGTCAATCAAGTTAATTCTCACTCCCATAGCGCGCTCTTTTCTCATCCCCAGAGAGCTCTAAAATGTCAAGTGGATCCCATCCACGGCTAAATGGAGGTGCTCATGTTGGAAATCCCCCTCCCCCCCAGTAAGAGAAGGAGCACTAGGTTGAGAAATGGCCCTGGGTTGGGGAGATGGGCAGTGTCCTGGGGAGGTGGCAAGTGCCCAGAAATAACTGGACACATAGCAACAATAGGGATAATCATCTAATTCAATCCACAGTGGAGCTGGTAGAAGATTTGTGGGGTATCCTGTCTTATTTTCAATTTAAAAAATACTTTCTGGGCTGGGCACAGTGGCTCAGGCCTGTAATCCCAGCACTTTGGGAGGCTGAGGTGGGCGGATCACCTGAGGTCAGGAGTTACAGACCAGCCTGACCAACAAGGTAAAACTCTGTCTCTACCAAAAAATATAAAAGTTAACCGGGTACAGTGGCACGCACCTGTAACACCAGCTACTCAGGAGGCTGAGGCAGGAGAATCGCTTGAGGCAGAGGTTGCAGTGAGCGGAGATTGCACCATTGCACTCTAGCCTGGGTGATCGAGTGTGAGACTCTGTCTCAAAAAAAAAAATGCATGGTCGGCCAGGTGTGGTGGCTCATGCCTGTAATCCCAGCACTTTGGGAGGCCAAGGCGGGCAGATCATCTGAGGTCAGGAGTTCAAGACCAGCTTGACCAACATGGCGAAACCCCCTCTCTACTACAAATACAAAAATTAGCCAGGCATGGTGATGGGTGTCTGTAATCCCAACTACTCGAGAGGCCAAGGCAGGAGAATGGCTTGAACCTAGCAGGCAGAGGTTGCAGTGAGCTGAGATTGCACCATTGCACTCCAGCCTGGGTGACAGAGCAAGACTCTACCTAAAAAAAAAAAAAAAATAAAAATACAAAAGTTAGCCTGGTGTGGTGGCACGCACCTATAATCCCAGCCACTTGGGAGGCTGAGGCAGGAGAATTGCTTGAACCTGGGAGGCAAAGGTTGTAATGAGCAGAGATCACACCACTGCACTCCAGCCTGAGCAACAGAGCGAGGCCCCATCTCAAAAAAATGTGACCGTGTGCAGTGGCTCATGCCTGTAATCCCAGCACTCTGGGAGACTGAGGCAGGTGAATCACTTGAGGTCAGGAGTTTGAGACCAGCCTGGCCAACATGGTGAAACCCCGTGTCTACTAAAGATACAAAATTAGCCTGACATGGTGGCGGTCCGCCTGTAGTCCCAGCTACTCAGGGGGCTGAGGCAAGAGAATTCACTTTAACCCAGGAGGCGGAGGTTGCAGTGAGCAGAGGTCTCGTTTTTGTACTCCAGTGTAGGCAAAAAGAGCAGAAATCCATCTCAAACAAACAAACAAAAAAGCATGGTGCAATAGGAGCTCAGTCCATCCCTTCCAAGCATTCCAAATAACACACCCGTGACTGCCACCAGTTCAGTTTATCATGACCCCCAAGGGTATTCAGCTTTAAGCAATCTCCAGGGAAATCCCAAGCCATGTGTAGCCTAACGGCTCCCAGGATGCCTGGACTGGCTCAAAAGCCCATCCCATCTATCTGTTGGATAAGAGAGTCAAGAAGGAAGAACAGAGTGCTTTAGAACCAATGTGATTCCTGGGCTGCATTCACAGTCATGTGGA